AAATCTGAAGTGCTCACATGATCTATATCGAATCCTCCTCTTCCACGTACGTACAACTTAGCACTATGTAAAGATTAAGACAGTGATGGATAACATAAAGCAATGACGTCAATTCTATTGTATTATCATAAACTAGCAGAAGGGGGCAAATGGGGAGCACGCGTGTATAAACGATGCATATACAACGCATCGTCGAAGTTGGCAGAAAGTGTCGAATTGACAAAGTAACTGGCAACTAGAGATGAAAAGAGATGAAGCAGTAAAACAAAATAAGCAAGAGCGAAATAAAAAAAAATTAACAGTAGAATCCAATATATCTCAAATCATTCACATGAAGTCGTCGTCGCCCAATCCACCATCATCATCGTAGGACGCATCGATTTTGTTATCTCTCGAAGCCACCAGCGAGACCTTAGTCTTGGCCGCCTTACTTTTCTTATTGCCCTTATCGGCGGCACGCTCCTCCTTCATCTTCTCGTTGCTCAGGGTGGTCAGCGAACTGGCGATCTTCTTGATGTCGCCACTGGGCAGATCCTTGACCAGCTGCTTGGTGAAATCCTGAGCCCACAGCGCGTACTGGGGCTTCTTCGACTGCGGCGTCAGCAGCGGGGCCAGCGTGGTGGTCAACCGAGCGAACTGGTCCTTGGTGACGGGCTTGAAGAGCGGCATGGCCGACAGGTCAACGGCCTGCGTGGGATCGGCAGAGTCGCTGATCACGACGGCCTTGGGGGCGCCGCGGTTGCGGTTCAGGTCGATGTCGCCAAAGAGGTCCTCGGCGTGCTTGAGGTCCGCATCCTTCTCGGTGCGGCGCAGACGAGCGCGCTTTTCGGCCTCGTCCTCATCACTATCGGAGTCCTCCTCGTCCTGCTCCTGTTTCCGAGTTTCCTTGTGCTCCTGTATCCGCTGCGCCTTGCTCTTCTTCTTTGCGGCCGCTTCGGCCTCGGCCTTGGCCTTGGCCTCCTTTGCCTTGGCTTCCTTCTCCCGCTCTACTTCGGAATCTTCGGCGGCGTCCCAGGAGTCGAGAACCTATTCCAAATGGCAGGTTTAATTAGCAACGATTCGTGAGAGGCAATGCGGGGGACGGTTGTGCAGGATCTAGACAAGGCTAGGCCTGAGAAGAGTGAACACATAGATTGAAACAGAAGAAGAAGAAAATGGAGGGGCGGAGAGGGGCTGGAATACGCACTTCATCCTCTTCCTCATCGTCGAACTTGCGGCGGGCAGCCACAGGAGGGGGAGGGGGGGAAGAGCTCTCCTCCTCGTCATCTGTGAGGTGGTAATTCCATTAGAAAAGATTATCCTCTCTCCACATGCACAATGCCATCGAGCCGGGAACAAGACTGTATTCAAACCCCCCCCCAAAAAAACTTACCCCACTTCGAAGGTGCCATGGTGGGTAGAAATATCAAAAATTGACGAAAACGAAAGGTAGTTCCACACGGGTCTTGAGGTTATGGACGGAAAGGACAGAGATACGAACCGTGTGTCCCCGGAAGACGGTCGTGGACGGAAGCGCAGGCGCAGGGAAATTTCGATCGGAGGGAGAAAGGATCGATTCCATCGCGAACGAAAGGCCCAGGTTGACCTCGACCCGGTCGGGTGGTGGGGCAGGTCACGTGTCGGCCGGCAGATGTTGATGCCCGATATTTCAGTCCCGCCCTCAACACTTGCATACTCGGTGTACTGTGTTAACCCCAATCTACTGCAATCTACACCCCTACACTTCTATGTACAACGCCGGCAAAGATTGAACTGCAAATTCTTTTCTTCATTATATAGCCCGTAGAGTTGGCTTATCAATTCGTCATCATAAATCTTGATCAAATAGTCATCTGCGATGGTACTTTTGCAGTTTGTTCCAACCCAACAAAGCTGCCTAGCAGTCAAAATTGTGAAGTATGAAACAGTCCGGGAGGAATACACTCAGTTGGTACCGGGGAGAAGGAAGAGGTGTGTTCTGCGAGATCACTGGCTACATTTACAGGTTGACAGAGTTGCGGAACTTCTGGCCGGCGTAGATGGCGTTCTCACCCAGCTCCTCCTCGATACGGAGGATCTGGTTGAGCTTAGCCAGACGCTCGGAACGGGCAGGAGCACCGGTCTTGATCTGGCCGGAGCGCAGACCGACGGCAATGTCGGCAATGGTAACGTCCTCGGTCTCACCGGAGCGGTGGGACACCATGACGCCCCAGTTGTCGGCGTAGGAGTCCTTGGCGGCCTGGATGGACTCGGTGAGAGTACCAATCTGGTTGACCTTGAGGAGAAGGGCATTGCAAGACTTGAGCTCGATGGCCTTCTTGATACGGAGGGGGTTGGTGACAGTCAGGTCATCACTATGGAGTCCGGTTAGCATCGGCATCACACCTCAACGGGAGAGAAGATCTGGTTGACGTACCCGACAATCTGGAAGTCAGAGGTCTTGTAGAAGTAGCTCCAGGCCTCCCAGTCGTCCTCAGCGAAGGGGTCCTCAATGCTGACGATGGGGTACTTGCTAGCCAGCGACTTGTACAGGTCGGCCAGCTGCTCGTAGGTGAGCCACTTGGTGGGGTCGCTGTCGGGGTTCTTGAAGTCGAGGTCGTACTTCTTGGCGTCGGTCTTGTAGAACTCGCTCGAGGCAACATCCATGGCGATGTTGATCTTGCCGGTGTAGCCGGCCTGCTCAATGGCCTCGGTGATCAGGTCGAGAGCCTCCTCGGCAGTCTGAATATCGGGGGCAACACCACCCTCGTCACCGACGTTACCGGCAGACTGGCCGTACTTCTTCTTGGCCAGAGCCTTGAGCTTCTGGTAGACCTCGGCACCCTGGCGGAGACCCTCGGAGAAGGAGGGAGCGTTGCTGATATCGAGGTCAGTATGACAATTGGCCACGATCAACCGAGAGAAGGGATCGGGGAATGGCACTTACTCGGGGACGATCATGAACTCCTGGAAAGCGAGACGGCCACCGGCGTGGGATCCACCGTTCAGGACGTTCTGGAAGGGCACGGGAAGGACGTAAGGCTTCTTGGTACCGGCCAGGTCGGAGATGTGGGCATAGAGGGGAACGCCCTTCTCGGCAGCACCGGCCTTAGCGATGGCCAAGCTGACACCGAGGATGGCGTTGGCACCGAGGTTGGCCTTGTTGGCGGTGCCGTCAAGCTTGTTGAGGAACTCATCGACCTTGGACTGGTCCTTCACGTCGAGGTTCTCCTTGATGAGAGCGGGGCCGATGGTCTCGTTGACGTTCTTGACGGCCTTGAGCACACCTATTCATCCGTCGATCATATTAGATTCCAATCGCAGTTTCCCGTGTCGTTGTTTAGGAGATGCATTGCAAACATACCCTTTCCACCCCACTGGGTCTTGTCACCGTCACGGAGCTCGTGAGCCTCGTGCTGGCCTATAGTTGGATTCTGTCAGTATTGATAGATAGCACTTAGCCTAGGAGAGGCCGGACTCTCGCGAGCCTTGATTGCTTCAGTGAGGGAGGTACCGACCAGTGGAAGCTCCGGAGGGAACGATGGCACGGTGCAAGCCAGTCTCGGTGACAACGTCAACCTCGACGGTGGGGTTGCCACGAGAGTCGTAGACGGAGCGGGCGTGGATCTTAGAGATGGGCATTTTGACGGTCTGGATTGATCAGTCAACTGAACTAGGAGACCAGAAAATTTTTGGAGAAGAGATGGAAAAAAAAGGCGGGAGGGATATTCAATAAATAGAAGAGGGGGAAAGGGGGGGGCAAAAAAAAATAAAACAACTGCGCTCTGGATGGCTGTTGGGAGGAGACTAGCAGCGGGGTGGGAGGGTGTTCACCGACGACCCGAAAAGAGAGAGCCGAATGATTCGATGACGAGATCACCGCGGATGGTGGTGGTGGAGAGCTCCGATCAGTCAATTGACCGAGCTTGAGGGGGGAGGAATACGGGGCGGTGACCAGTGGGGGATGCGTGCATTGAATGGCAGGCATCTCGAGCAGAGTACGCTGTGCAGGAAGCATCAAACTTCCGTGCACTCTCTATGCTCAAGGGAAGAGAGAGAGGGAGGGGTCATAGTATAAACAGAGTGGGATGGTGGGGTAGTTGGACATGATGACCAAGAGGGATAGTTTCGGGGGAACGACAAGGGAGGCAGGGCAGAAGACGGAGGCACAACTCACCAGGACAGGAAAGATGATAACCAAAAAAAGAAAAAGAAAAGAAACCAGAAGAGAAGGAAAGGAGAGCAACGGGCGGTTCTTGTATGAGGCTGGAGATGGTGGGGCTGCCCCTCGCTCTTTCCTGAAGGTCTCGCCGGACGCGAGATCTCCCGGATTCCCTCGGGGTAAGGCGGGTTGAAGAGGTCTTCCCCATATGTGCTGCTTTCGCATTACGACATCGCATTCATTATTGGATTCGGGTTCGGAATCGGAGACTGCGCCTCGGTTGCTCTACCAGGAAGGCATACCTTACCTTAGGTATGAGGAGCTTCTGACATACGATGTCGGGCAGCTTTGAGCATACTTTATATGTATGTACATACATACCTACCCTACCCTACCTAGTAGTAGTATTAAACGTAGAAGTATGCAATTGCCCTAAAATATAATCTCTCCCTCCTCTTCTATCATTCTAGTCACCAATTCCGATTCATCTCCCCGTGGAATACCCGTCAATGCCAGAAACTTCCATCTGCCCATTGCGTAATGACGAAAACACATGTAGACACCTTAGTGCCTGATCGGGTGTCGGATGAAAGATACTACGCACCTCTGCTGCCTAAAAAATCGGGCCGCCATATCATTTCACGTGAGCCTTGAGCGGTAGGTCACGTGATTTGTCGCGCTTGGTTGCTCCGTAAGCTCGACAGCTCGCCGAGCTGGCTGGCAGTGACGGAGTTCAGATATCCCCATCCAAGTCATCCTTTCATCCATACTCCTGCCATTCCGAACGGCCGCGTGAATCTTGCCATCATCCACAACTCTCCTACACCTGCAACTCCATCCCTGCTTTCTCCAAACTGCCCCCCACGAGCCTTTTATCGCTATGAACGGCGCCGGCGACCCCGAGAGGGACCAGGCCCTCGAAGATTACAAAAAGAGCCTTCTGGAGCTCCGAGAATGGGAGGCAAAGCTGAAGTCGCTTCGCATGGGGATCAAAGATCTGCAGAGGGAGTTTGATATCTCCGAGGAGAACATCAAGGCCTTGCAAAGTGTAGGCCAGATCATCGGTGAAGTGCTGAAGCAACTGGACGAAGAGAGATGTAAGTAGATCGCCGTCTAGTCGGATTCCTTGCACCCGGCTTCTGTCTGTTCATCTATCGTTAGTCGGGTTTTGCCTCTTATGGCTTTTCCCTCTCCCTGTGAAGGAACGAATTGATTTACGTCATTCCAGCGCTGACCCCGAGTAGTCATTGTCAAGGCATCGTCCGGTCCTCGATATGTTGTCGGCTGTCGCTCCAAGGTTGATAGATCGAAGCTGAAACAAGGCACCCGTGTCGCCCTGGATATGACCACCCTGACTATTATGCGAATGCTCCCCCGAGAGGTCGATCCCTTGGTGTACAACATGTCTTTGGAGGACCCCGGCCAAATCAACTTTGCAGGCATTGGTGGTCTGAATGATCAAATCCGTGAACTAAGGGAGGTGATCGAGTTGCCGCTGAAGAATCCGGAACTATTCCACCGAGTGGGCATCAAGTCGCCCAAGGGTGTCCTACTTTACGGTCCTCCCGGTACAGGAAAGACACTCTTGGCGCGAGCCGTGGCCAGTTCGATCGAAACCAACTTCCTGAAAGGTAGTCCAATCTATAATCCTGATGAGAAGGGGGACCAGGGAATGCTGACTCGTATCTAGTTGTTTCCTCTGCTATCGTTGACAAGTACATTGGTGAATCGGCACGGTTAATTCGAGAGATGTTCGGCTACGCCAAGGAACATGAGCCTTGCATCATCTTCATGGACGAAATCGACGCTATCGGTGGTCGACGATTCTCCGAGGGTACCTCTGCCGATCGAGAAATCCAACGGACATTGATGGAGCTTCTCAACCAGCTCGACGGATTCGACTACCTCGGAAAGACCAAGATCATCATGGCCACGAACCGACCCGACACCCTTGACCCCGCCCTCCTACGAGCCGGCCGATTGGACCGGAAGATTGAGATTCCTCTGCCCAACGAGGTTGGCCGTCTGGAGATCCTCAAGATCCACACGAGTACTGTGCAACTGGATGGTGACATTGATTTCGAGAGCGTGGTCAAGATGAGTGATGGTCTCAACGGAGCGGATCTCCGCAACGTTGTCACGGAAGCGTACGTTTCCTTTTTCTTACTATTTTTTTTTTTTCCTCTTCAGGATCGGAACTTCAGATCTAGGCTAACATTTCTCATGCAGGGGTCTATTTACCATCAAGGATTACCGGGATGCAATCAACCAGGATGACTTCAACCGGGCGGTTCGTAAGGTGGCGGAGTCGAAGAAACTGGAAGGCAAGCTGGAGTACCAGAAACTGTAATTGACGGGGTCATTCTTTCTTATGTGAATGATCATTTCAATATTAGCCATGTGTCTAGAGAAATCGCCTTTTTTAATGAGCCCTTTAATGTGTTCCGAATCTTGTAGAATGGTCGCGTGAAGTTATTCCTGGAGGGGGAGTCTCTGAATCTCCGGCGACGCCATGCTTGTCTAATTCCGGGACGCTTATTATCCTGTCCGAAATCCTCGAAAGTCTGGGAGCAGAGATGAAGTCTTCATGTCGTCAAGCACTGCTCGCTCGTGAAGGCCCTCGCCAAGGCCTTCCTCGGCATTCTCCACCAATGGGTCGGGGCGCCAAACCGCAACAGGTGGCCTTGTCAATATTTCTTACTCGCCATAGTTTCATGCTCTGTCGCATCGCTGGACGAGCTTGCACATGCCTTCATGAGATCAGCCCTCTGAATGCTGCTTGCACGAGGCGGAGCTGAGATCTTCGCCAACCATCATTGAATGCTTGGGTCAGTTGTTTACGCTACTATGCCGTGTGTCGTCCTCCGATCTACAGGCGCTATTTCGGCTTATTCCTTCAAGGGCTATCTTACTAACTCGACCTGTGTCTTCTTTCTTCAGCTTCCTTCCCTGTCCTCTGACCCTCCGCGCGGTAATCGAACTGTCCGTGATCAGACAAACCGTCCGTCGGTTATAATTCCTGGTAAACAGTCGACAAGGTGACCGTGTCTGATGCCGATATCTTTACAACGCCTCTCATTCGAGCACTTCCTTCTCTCCGGCCTGTCCTCCGCATTCGACGAGGAAGTATTGTAGACGCAGCCCGGTGGCCATGTCTTTTCAGTATCCTCCAAACAATCCGTCACTTTCTCCCTCCCCTCAGCGACCGTTCGAGAGCCACAATTGGCGAGCTGCCAGTCGGAGCCCCGGTACCAGTGGACTACCAGGTTATGGTATTTCGCAGTCCGCGGGGGTAGCCAACAATCTTCCCAACATCTTCGGGGGAGATCGTACCCTCCCCATGTACAAAGACAAGCCGTATTTCGCGCCGCGGCGCACGGGACCACGACACAGGCGGGGGAAGATCCTAAAAGGCGGGATCCTGCTGTTGTTTCTGGGGCTTGTCTGGTACTACGTATCCGGACCGAATAACTGGAGTCAACCTGCTTTGAGCACGCCGGACTCGGCCAAAGGAGAGGAACTCTGGGCCTGGATGCAGAGCCTAGATGAAACGGACCCGGCCTACGACGGCAGCAAACCGAAGCCCGTTGATTGGGCCGCACGCCGGGAGAAGGTCAGGGATACGTTCGTTGTCAGCTGGGATGGCTACGAGAAACATGCATGGGGTATGTTCCGGAGGACTCTCTCACTTCCATCGATCGATTCGCCGAACAAGTTCGCAGGTCAGCAGTGCTAATGCAGTCTCTTATCCTGGGCAGGTTTGGATGTGTTCCGTCCTGTTTCCAAGGACGGCAGAACCATGGTGGACGGTGGCATGGGGTGGATGATCGTCGATGCGCTGGACACAATGATGATCATGAATCTCACCTCGCGGGTGCAGCATGCCCGTAGTTGGATTCATTACTCCCTGCGGTACGACCAAGACCACGACGTGAGCACCTTTGAGACAACCATTCGTATGCTGGGAGGCCTTCTCTCTGCGCACTACCTCTCCACGACATATCCCCAACTCGCCCCGGTCGCTGACGACGACGTGGGCTCCCCGGGAGAAGACCTGTACATTGAGAAGGCGACCGATCTGGCGGATCGACTGGCGGGCGCCTTCGAGTCCTCATCGGGGATACCCTACGCCAGTGTGAACCTCAACACGTCCAAGGGTATCCCGTCACACTCCGACGGAGGCGCTTCGTCCACCGCTGAAGCCACCTCCGTGCAGCTGGAGTTCAAATACCTGGCGAAGCTGACCGGTGAGGCTGAGTACTGGCGCATCGTCGAGAACGTAATGGAAATTGTGGACGGCCAGAAGATGGAGGATGGCCTCGTTCCGATCTACCTTTATCCAGACTCTGGCAAATTCAGGGGAAACAATGTACGTCTCGGTAGTCGCGGTGACTCCTACTATGGTACGTCTCTCAATGTCCTTTTGGTGGCTTCTACATCACCCCCACGATCACTAACGCTCAACTCTTACTAGAGTACCTCATCAAACAGTATCACCAGACCTTCGAACAAGAGCCTGTGTACAAGGAGATGTGGGATGAGGCTCTCATGGGCATGCGCAAGCACTTGATTGCGTACACGAAAAACGCCCAGTTGATGATCTTGGGCGAACGACCCACGGGACTCCGCGAGGCCCTTTCGCCTAAGATGGATCATCTGGTGTGTTTCCTGCCCGGCACGATTGCATTGGCTGCGACTGGCGGGCTGCCCCTTTCGCAGGCTAAAAAGCTCCCGACGTGGACCCAGCGGCATGACGAGGAGATTCTGATTGCCAAAGAGCTGATGAAGACCTGCTGGGCGACGTATCTCGCCACGTCGACCGGTCTTGCCCCTGAAATCACCTACTTCCTCACGGATGAACCTCCCGTGATGTTCAGCGACATGTATCCCGACTCCACCATGGTCACGGGCAACCAGAAGTCGCAGCAAGAAGACCTGCCCCTCAAATCAAAACCCCTCTACCCACTCAAGGATGAGACCTCCAACTGGCGTGAGGACATCAACATCCACAATCAGGACCGACACAACCTGCAACGGCCCGAGACCGTCGAATCCCTCCTCTACATGTACCGAATCACCGAGGACGAAACCTACCGTCACTGGGGGTGGGAGATGTTCAAGTCCTTTGTGCGCCACACGGCCGTCGTCGAGCACGATGCGCCTTCCGCCGACTCTGGAGCCGAGGGCGAAGCTAACGCCGACGCTGACGCTGACGGTGTCAACGCCGAGGCACAGGGCAAGTCTCGCATCGTTGGCTTCACCTCGCTATCCAACGCCAACGTGCTGCCGCCAGTTCGCAGAGACAACACGGAAAGTTTCTGGATGGCTGAAACCCTCAAGTACTTCTATCTCTTGTTCTCCGATCGAGAGTTCCTTCCTCTCGAAGAAAACGTCTTCAACACCGAGGCGCATCCGATGCCCCGGTTCAAACCGAGTGGCGAGTTGAAAACGGGGTGGACGCGGAAGCCGCGAGATTCGTGAGGACTTTTTGGATTTTGATGCCATTTGATTGTGTTATGTTCTCTCTTGTTTTATTTTCAGGGTTACTATATAAATGACAGGAATAGAAAGGTTTATTTTTTTTGACCCATTTCTCGATGGCTGAGGCCAAGCCATGGCGATCTTCCTTCTACATTGATCAATCGATTTAATACAACAAACCAGTCATCCAAATCATTCAATTGTTTTCATTTATGTGACCATCTTCGATCATCACAGTGGTCACCCTACACCAGGAACTTCCACAGTCCCCACTGTGGTCCTGCGTGCGGTGCGTCGGAGTTATCACTTTCTTCTTCAGGCTATAGACTTCTCCGAGGGAGCCCGGATGCCTTCGCCCAGAATCAACCTGCTGTTATTTAGCAGCAGCGGTGGGGGCCTATATATAACCGCATCATGTCTTGTTCGAACAGAGCTTTAATTCAGCTTGCAATCAAATAGACCCGAAAATGTCGACGCCACCGAGGCAAAACAGTCAATCAGTCCTCGAGGGAACGGATTATCCCTTCAGTCTCGGTAATTTTGGCCGTGTCATCTCCACGTCGAGCCCTGCTGCTCAGATATGGTTGGATCGAGGCCTGACATGGGTCTATACCTTTAATCACGTGGAAGCAGTGAGCTGTTTCAAGAAGGCTATTTCATGCGACGAGGCATGCGCTATGGCCTACTGGGGTATTGCATTTGCCCTTGGCTCCAACTATAACCACCCTTACGAATTGTTCGATGAAGACCATCTTAAATCTGTGTTGAAGGACACATACCATGCATCTAGAATCGCCAAGACCCTCTCTGACTCCGTCACCCCGATTGAGAAGGGTCTCAGACGCCATCAGCATTCGATTCCAGCATGCAAACCTTGTGCAGGTTGAACAGCTTGTATCAGATAGCGTCAAATATTGTGATGCTATGCATATCCTCTATGGGGAATTCGGCCATGATCTGGATGTTGCTGCTCTGTATGCCGACTCTATGATGACCTTGAGCCCGTGGAAGCTATATGACCTGAACACAGGCGAGCCTGCCAGAGGAGCTCGCACTTTCGAGCCGCAGGAAGTTTTGGAGCGGGCATTGGCGCAGCGGGGGTCATCACAGCACCCCGGTCTGCTGCACATGTACATTCATCTGGCAGAAATGTGCCCGAATCTGGAGCGTGGACTTTCTACTGCGGACGCTCTACGGGATCTTGTTCCTGACGCCGACCACGCGCATCATATACCGATCCACCTGGATAACCTGGTAGGCGATTACCGTCGCGCGATCTCATCCAACACCCGTGCGGCCTTTGCCGACGAGAAGTACTACGTCTATGCTGGGGGCAAGAATTTCTACAGTCTTTACCGCCTCCATAACTACCATTCTTTGATCTATGCGGTGATGTTCGCCGGCAAGAAACAGATCGCGCTGGAGACGGTGGACCGGATGGAAGCAACCATCCCCGAGGAAATCCTGCGAGCCAAATCGCCCAACCTCGCCGATTGGCTTGAAGGCTACATTGCCATCCGGTTTCATGTCATGGTGCGGTTCGGAATGTGGGAGGAGATCCTTCGTCTCCAGTCCCCAGCCGACCAGGACCTCTACTGCGTGACCACCGCGACGATTCATTACGCCAAAGGCGTGGTATTTGCGTCTTTGGGCCGCGTGAAGGAGGCCGAATGGGAGCAAGAACGCTACTCGGCCGCCATTGAACGTGTCCCTGACACGCGTCGAACCCATCCGAATCGCTCCGTGGATATTCTCCGCGTCGGTGTCTCTATGCTTGCTATCGAGACCCAATATCGCCGTGGAAATTTTACAGAGGGTTTTGCTGCTTTGCGCCGCGCTATCCATCTGGAAGACAGTCTCGTGTTCAGCGAGCCCTGGGGATGGATGCAGCCAGTCCGTCATGCCTGCACCGCTCTCTCGCTGGAGCAAGAGAAAAATGACAATATCTTGGTCTTTTCAATGGGTCTAGGATCCTCTAGCATTATCTAGATACTACATGTGTCCCTTGAATAACGACTAGCCAGCAGAGATCCTAGCTTCATACTACGTATCATCGTAATAGTGCAATAATAGGAGGGATTGTGTCTTTCCAGTGTAAATCGATTCGTGATTTGATAACTCAAGAATCTCTCATCTTTTCTTGTGGGATATAAAATGTGTTTAACGAAGGAAACGCTTCTACTACCCCTACGAAGGGTAAGGGTCTGATTCTGCGAATAGGCTTCCTAAGGCTATGGTGAAGATTGATACTGTTCTTTATAGAAAATCCATACCCAAGTTTCAAAATATCATACACTCTGACAGACCAATGAATTAAACAATGTCTTGATGTATAACGCTCAACCCCAACCCAAACAGCCTCTCTAAACCTCGCGGGCCTGACCATTGGCTTCGCCACTGTGAACGGCCTTGCCCGTCGCCTTAAGGACGGCGAGGACGGCTTCATACGACAGAGAAGATTCCGCGTTGACTAAGACGGTCTTGTGCTCTAGACTGACGTCGAAAGACTCGATTCCTTCTCGTGATGTGGATTAGCTAGAAGAACGGTGCAAAGACAAGCAGGGAGGGACGCAGGTGCCCTCAAACTTACCGTTGACACTCTTCAGAGCATCCTCGAGGGCGCTGGAGCAACCACCGCAGCCCATCTGGACATTGAATTTGTATTGGTTTGGGGACATTGTAAGAAGGAGTAGTGGTGGTAGTTGTGGTAGTGGCAGTAGTGGATAAGTGTGAGGAAGGGCGAATTTTGGGATGCTTCTGTGTTGGTTCAGAAGTAGTCACTTCAGACGATTCGGTCTTTAACTTATATCATCAAGAGAGGCGTAGAACCTGCTATGCTCTCTGCTGCTTATGCATATCCCGAAGAGGTGTTTGTGCTATAGGCTGGTTGGTGTTGGCTCCACACGACGCTACTTAATTCGGTAACTCCGAACACCGACGATGCGCGTTTATCGCCTGAATTAGTGAATTTCCATCAGCCTAGAGTCTTCGTAGGGTGGGGTCGAGGATTTGTCAAGGTCGAGTACGGTTTCCGTCATAGGGCAAGGTGCTTGCTTTCGAGGAGGCGGCCTTATTATCCGGGGGATGAGAAGATCGCAGTCACAGTTCTAGACAATACATACCGAGATGATAACAAGACAATTTGCCGTAGAAGATCTACCGGTTGATATCAATGTTGATCGGAATAGGATAGAAAATCAAATTCGATTTGATTGTATTAAGTTATGCTAACTAGTTGATTCAATCTCATGGTGTATATCTCACAGGTTACAACACATTAAACCCATATCAGTTGTTCCGGAACGCCAGCAATGGCTATGGTTAGAATATTATGAAAATTCACACGCGGATAGTATTCGTCCACACCAAATGCACCCAATGACCCACCGAGACTCAAACTCATATTCATTTCCCAGACCCGAGGCTCCTCGTTCCTACCAGAGGCAGTCGAGTCTTCATCAAGAGACTGCTGCAGATTACACTAAGGCTGCTAAGTGCCATCGCGAGACGCGCCTAAACAGGGTCCAATCGCACATGGTTGCCGTTGCTTACAATCGGGAAGAAAACGCCAGCGGCGACGGACACGGCGATGCAGTTGTACACCAGCGCCCAACCAAAGTTGAATCGAATGCGACTAAAGACCACTGGGTTCAGATCCACCATGGTGAGTAGCGAGGTCAAACGAGATGAGACGAGAACAAACTCGGCGGCCGAAATTGCAATATCTGAGCCTGATCCGATGGCAAAGCCGACGTCGGCCATGGTTAACGCTGGGGAACCATTGATGCCATCGCCGACCATTGCTACCAGTGCACGTCCCGATGCATTCTTCTTCTTGCCTAGGCCGAGCCAGCCCGTTCGCGGTGCTCGTGGGAGTGTCTTTTGAAGATATTGCACCTTGTCGGCTTTCTGTTCCGGCAGTACGCCAGCAATGATGTTGTCTTCAGGGATACCGACCATCTTGCCCACTGCACGAGCCGTTGTGGGATTGTCCCCCCGAGACCATCCAGACCGCGACATTGCGGGTTTGCAAGGCTTCGATCGTGGCCACGGCCTCAGGCCGCACCGGGTCGGCCACTGCAAGCATCAAGGCAAGACCCCAAGGGACTTTCTTCTCTGCGTTCTCATTTGCCTGGATCCTTGCACCAACAAGAACAACAGATTTGGCTTGCGTCTTCCAATCGTTCAAGGTGCGATCATGGATCGAGGAAATGACAATGTCATGGTCAATCATAAGGACCTCATTACCCACCACGATGTCCAGAATCGAGTCTGCATTGCCGGGAAGACGGAACGATCCCTTCATACCTTTTCCCGCAATCTCGCTCACAGAAACGACGGCCATGTTCGGTGGCTGGTACTTCGTAGCGAACTTGACCATTGCTTTGGCAATCGGGTGGCTGCTGTTGTGTTCGACCTCCCTCACCGCGCCCCAAATTTCGCCAACGTGATCGGTAAGGATGGTCTCATGGTCCGTGATGGCTGGCTCTCCACCCTCAGTAATGGTCCCGGTCTTATCAAACACAATATAATCCAGCTAGCTAGCTTCTTGGAAGGTCTCGCCACCGCCCTTGACCAAAATTCCATGTTGAGCTGCGAGACCGCCACCAACAAAGAGAGCCGTCGGAGCTGCTAGGCCAATCCCACAAGGGCAGGCAACGACAAAGACGGAGATGGTAAACTGCAAGGACCAAAACTCCCATCCACCAGTGCTTCCTGATTTCCAGCTTTCCGGAAGCCGCCCAGAAACACCCAGTGCCAGCCAAATGATCCAATCCAATATTGCAATCAAAGAAATCAAAGGTACAAAGAAGCCAGTGATCAGATCGGCTGTGCGTTCAATGGGTGCCCTACGAATTTGACCCTCGCGAACCGCTCCAATCGCCTGGTCGAGCATCGAATCACCAGAGAGTCGAGTAACGCGGATGGAAACTGGATCAGCCTGATTGATAGTCCCGGAGAATACTTCATCGCCAACCGACTTGGTCACAGGCCTTGACTCTCCCGTCAAGCTCGACTCGTCGAATTGCGATCGTCCGTCGATCAAAGTTCCGTCGTACGGGGGAGAAGCTCCATTGCGGACACGGACAACATCACCGAATTCCAATTGATCGATAGGGATCGCGATGACTTCTCCGGATCTAGCCGGGCTTCCACTGTCATTCTGTTGGACCAGCAAAGCCTCTGTCGGGCGCAGTTTGCTCAAAAGACTGACAGCGTCTCCAGCTTTGGCCTTGCTGTAGGCTTCCAGTAATCTACCCACGAGTAGAAACATGGTGAGGAAGACAACTGAGTCAAAGAAGCTGTCGGTGTTTGTTCCCATACCGTCAAGGGGTTGTGTGGCATTGATGGAGAGAATGGCGATAGAGGAGACGTAGGCGATGGTCGTTCCGAGAGACATCAACATGTCCATGCTTCCACAACGGTAATGTCGGCGTAGGATTGGAGTAGTGCTCCCTGGTCTCCAGAGAGCCTTGATCTCAGCGAGCATGCGACGATGGAAGAGGTCCGCAGCAAAGAAGTAGACCGGAGTTGCCATGATGAGCAGAGTCCACTCGATGCGAGAGGCTTGGCCGGCCCACATCGATTGCTCGAGGTATATTCGCCCAGGATTGTCGGGCGAGACCAATGACATATATACGATGCCTATGATGAAAGTCGGAATGGCAACCACCACGGCCAGGATCAAGCGGCGGGCAATCTGCCATTGTTGTCGCCGGTGCATAGCGTGAGAACGCTCCTCTAAACCGGGGGGGGGGGGGGCGGTATATCGATACGGCGAAGGCCTGGTCCACATTGGCGATAGCTTCAAGAATGTGCCGAATGGTAAAAGTTGGCGTGTTGGGGATGTAAGACACAGTCAAGAGAGACTTGGTTCGAGTTGGAGGTTCGGTCACCTCCAGTCGGTCCGAGAAAGGCGCAAGAGTGTTGAGCACCCGCTCGGGGCAATGGGAGCAATGCATCCCATCCACCTGAATACTGACTGTGCGTTTGGAGCTATCCTCGCGGGTTGGATTCCGACTCTCAATGTCACTCAGAGTGGCTTTGTAACCAAGGCCATTGATGACGGTCGGAATCTCATCGAGATGGCTCTTGTCTTGGAATTCGACCGTTGCACTTCCATAGACAAGATTCACATCCACATTGGTAATCCACTCGTACTTGCTAAGCGTATCTGTCACTTTTCCTTCCAACACAGGAGCTGCAAGTCAACCCCCCAATTATGTAGGAAGCGCGCCATGAATCGATCATCGAGGCGGGCTTGGGAGACTTCTGGGTTTGAATATCTTCGGTATTGATCAGCTCAACTGCATAGCCAGCTCTTTTGACTATTTCCGAGACCTCATTCACGTGGGCTTTGTCCAGAAGCACCACCACGGCACTGGCGGTCAAGAGATTGACATCGACCTACTGAATCCAAGCTCGCGGTTGCAGGGCTGCCGTAATCTTGCTCACACATGAGCTAAAAGACATGGCGCTAATGGAGAAGGTCATGCGGGCCCGTGAGCCATTCAGACTGTCAGTCATGACAGTTGCCAGCTCATCGTCTTGGGACTTGATGGGGGTGGCAACGGGAATAGGGCCCTTCTTGGTGTCATCCACGCCCTGGTCTGTCGATAAATCCGAGGCCAGTTTCGCTAGTTCCGCAGAGCAAGTGTCGCATTTACTGACATGCAGCTCGGACTGCTCCCGCGCGTCGTGTTTCGCCTTGCCACGATGGTCGCCATTGATTTCGAGATTGTCTTCATCGGTTTGCACGCTATCGATTTCAAATGCAGCATCTTCTAAAGCCCGGATTATGCGAGAAGTGCTCAACGTATTCGGATGGGTGACTTTGACTTCCTGTAAGATGGAGGTTGTGATTGAGTATGGAGGCGGCACTAGGGCGGAGAGCGTTTCCTCGACATTGGCCACTCATGACGGGCAATGGAGGTTATTCACAAGAACGGAGGTGAGCCTTGACGGAGGCGTGACTGTCTCTTCGACCCCCATGGCGACCACAAAGTATCGATGGACTGTTGATTTCAATCACACAAGAGATGGTGAATGAGTTCTCGAAGGAGCGAATCCTGTATTCGTATACCCCGTGTATATAGAGATATATAATGTGGAGCTGCTTGGATAAGCTACCGCGAAAAAGACGCAGTTGGTGGACCACGTTCTGGCCAGGGATGTGCGACTTTTGTGCGCGACGCCATCGGACGGAGATAACACCTGCCTAATTCGTCATTCCACGCCACCGAGAGATCTGGAGATGAATCACTTACAACTCCTCGAGTGGGTGAGGTAGCTACGCAGGTAGAGTAGACTACAACTCATTATACAGATGTATCGATATCGAGATATATTTTTCAAATAACCCGTGTTGTTCCGAGAGCTTGTTTCAAAAGAATGTCTATATATACAACCGCGAATCCCAAGCTATCAACGATGCTGATCGTCCAATTCATCAAACTCCATGCGAGAACAAGAGACGTAAGTAGCGTGAAAGAAGCGTCCCTAACCCACCTATATATATACTTTATCCGAGGGCGAATAGAACCAAGCCCGGACTTACTCGTTCCGATCCAATGCCGCCTCGATCAACTTCCGGTATCCACGCACAGCCTCCTGCAGATCCGCCACAGTGAGGGCCTCGTCGTCGCTGTGCGCCACATGAATACTACCGGGGCCGTAGAGGTAGCGACGCACGCGGCCGCCGTCCTCGCGGTCGGGAATCTGAAGGTTTGGCACGTCGGTGCCGTAGTTCACCGTCGTCACCTCGAATCCTTCCACGTCCGTGTCCAGGTCCGGCGGTGGGTAACCTTCTGGGTGTGACGAGAAGTCGGCGTACACGGCCTCGTTGCCCTCGGTGGCATTGTGCACAGCGCGCCGCACGATCTCGCGCGCCTCATCCGGAGTACCCGCCGCCAGCCGTACCGCGACGCCCGCCCGTGCAGCCGCGGGCACCACGTTGATTGCTACACCGGCATCCACGCGACCGATGTTCACGGTGGTGCGGCCGAACTTGGGACTGGAGGGCAGGCCGCCCTCCTCGGCGGGAATGTCCCCTAGACGGTCGACGCGCGACAGGGCCGGCAGGATGGCTGAGATAGCGCTTGATCCGAGCCAGGGATACCCGGAGTGGGCGGCATGACCAGTGGCGACCACGTCGAAGACCAGCATGCCCTTGTGGCCGGCGACGAGGGCCAGGTCAGTGGGCTCGCCAAAGATGACGGCGTTGAAGGTGGAGGGGGCTGGGTTCAGGGAGGATTCAGAGAAGACGCGCATGCCTTTCCCGCCGACTTCTTCGTCTACGACGAAGAGGAATCCCAGCGGAGCGTCCGGGGTCTCGTCCAGCACCTCGAGCGCCGCAAAGACCTGGGCCGCCACGCTGGCCTTGGCGTCGACGGAGCCTCGACCAGCGATACGGATGCTCGAGGCCGAGGAATTGGAGTCGACGCGCTCGAGGGAGTAGGGGATAAACGGGGGCACGGTATCAATGTGGCTGGTGAGGAGGACCCGGGGGGAACTAGACGCCCGGTAGGCGAAGATGTTGAAGCGATCCGGTCCATCCCCACCCGTCACGGGCTGCTTGACAACGGTGAAGCTGTGCGCCTTCAGAAAGTCTGCCACGAATTCGCTGACGTAGCTCTCATTCCCAGAGATGGATTCAATCTGTACAAGGTCGCGGTGGAAAGACAGGAAGGGTGAGTCATTGATGACATCGTCTAGGGAGCCGCCGGTGGAAGGCGACGAGGAGATGGGTTTCAAAGGCCTCTGCGGGGATGCGAGGGCCGGAGAAACAGCTGCCAGGCCGGCAATGCCGAGCAGAAAGGAGGACAGGAACTTCATGTGGCTGGAGAGGACGAAGAGATCGCTGGACGAAACGCAAGGCGGTGCGGTCCATCCGATGCAGACGAGGCCGAAGTCAGCACATCGTGATGTCACGTGCACGGACCAAAGGGCATCACGTCATCCTCTAAGTTAGTGGTGAACTATAGCTCCCAGTGTTATCTCGATGGATCTGAGTCTGAATCTGAACCAGATCGGATCGATGATCGACTATCTATCACTCCGACATGTTCTCTCCCATGCTGACCATCAATTGATCGGTCGCTCGTGATAGAGAGGATTACTGGATTACGAGGTACAAAGTATCTTAAATTCCCAAATGCCGACCCGGTCGCGACCCAAGGAACGCCGCCGCGGTAAATTCTATCGGCGTTCGGTAGCCACAGGGTTCTTCCACTTCCGTTCTGACTTTTCTTCTAGTCCCAAACTCTGATGGGATTTAGGGAACCATCCGGCTGGCTCTGTCCATGTGGATCTGACGTCGGCACCAGAGTTTTGAGTTCAAGGTTGGAGTGCGAGAACTGTGGAACACAAGTCGACGCTCCTCCGTACTCAGCATGTCTCGGGGGGAAGAAAACAGCCAAAAAAAAGGGTCCACCGGGTGATCGGCCAACCAATTTCTTGAACAGGTGAAGTCTAAGACAGAGCGCGAAAACCCTCAAAAAACAAACGCGTTGGAGGAGAGACAGCCCGAAGAAGTCAGCCAGTAGGGGAAGCGATGGATGACACAGCGGTCGCAACCTGCAGCGACCGAGACAGAAGGGGTCTGTCTTTGCGACACCGGCAGGCAAGAAGAAAGGAAGACGCATGGAGGACCGACCACTCTGTCAGAGATTACTACACCGTACGCACGCATGCGACCTGCTTCGTCGGGAGTCGTCCGATGCGAAGATGATAGGTCATGGTACTTTCGGGGAAGAGGGGAAAACCCAGCGCGTTGACAATTCTCGCATCTTGGTCCTCCAGGAAGAATGACAATCATGACGGTCGGCGGTCGCACAGTGTTCACCTGTTCAGGGAAAGAGTAGCCCACCAGCCACTGGAGCAATGTCAATCCGATGGAGTTCTGTGTTAGACCAGTCGAGTCGGTCGGAGTCTAGATTGTCATCCTTCATCTTTTGTCTTGCTCTCTCCCGCGCTCACGATGGGTCCCTGACTCGCTTGGGGTGTTTTTCCAAGACCAAGACCCAAGGTGGATTGGCGATGACGCGAGGCCGTTGGAATTCCCCCGACGGGCAGACGGAACGGTGCTTCTTGAATCTCGATGGAGCATTTTCTCACGATACTCCGCGACCGGCTTCTTTGGTCTTCTCGAAAAGGTTAAAAAGAGGGAAAAGTCTTCCCCTCCCCTCTGACGATAACGATAGCAAAGGTTTGCAAGCCATGCGACCGAAAGGAAGTACCGCATCTCATCTCCGCCGGGGACTAAAGTGAAAAATAAAAAGCAGCGACCGTGGCAAAGAAATGTAAGGATCCACGGAACTGAGCGGAGCCTACACTGGTCTGGCGAATTCCCCGAGGATCGTCCATTCTTACTTTCTGGTTCTTAAGTCATACCCAGAGAAAAATAATAATAATAATAATAATAATAGAAGGTCAAAATTAGATGCTTGGCAGACGAAGGCGAAAAGAAGAACAGAATTTGATAGATAGAGAGATCGAGAGATCGAGAGATCGAGAGACTAAGAGAGGACCGACAGGAAGAGAACAAAGGCAAAGTACGCTCCGTAGAGCGAAAAAGAAGCCGACATTCAATTTTTGCTTTTTCTCTTTGCCCCTCACGATGTAATCGAATTAAATAAATAAATTATTTCATCGAAGGTGATTTGGAGCGAGACCGTCGAGAAGTGAAGGGAAAGAAGACATTCTCTGGTTACGTCTGTGCTCCCCTCTCTGTTTCTCTTCTTTCTCCTCCTCCGCCTCTTCTTCTTTTCCTTCTCTCATCCTCTCCCATCCTTCTTTCCTTCGCCAAACGCCAACGCCCTCCGACTGGAAAAGCAACTGCGGCCCACTGAGCTGTCAGCCTGCCTTTTGGGCCTCACGAACACCCTCATCTTTCCCCTCCGGCCAGCTGTTCGTCCGCCTGCATCCACTGACGTGCTCCACGTCTTCTTGTCGGCCCTGCCGCCTGCCATTTTTCTCCCCGCCTCGGCCAGTCACTCGCTCGTGGCTTCTGGCTCGCGTCGTCTCAGAGTCAATTGTCCTATCCGGGGGCCTCGCATCGTTTCCCTCGCTGCTGGTCTTGTCCTTGTCTCTCGTTCCTTCTCTCGGGCTGTCTTTCACCGCCACGCCACGTCTGACTTGGGTTGTTGAGGATCTTTAAACAGTCATTGTTCTCTCTGGCTTCTTTTCCTCCATCCCCCCCCCCTTTTCCCTTTCTTTTCTCGTTTCTCATGTGGACGGAATAAGAAAAAGAAGAACCGAAAAAGCAATACATATTAATCTCTTTTGTTTCTTTTTTTATCTTCTAAAACAAACATTACTCAGACAAATCAGTGGATGATGTCTTCGACATAAAGAGCTGAAACCAAACCCCCCCGATCTGTTTTTTCTCTGCGTGTCGCGTTTGTTCTCCTGCTTTTCACCTGCAGCAGAGAAAGAAAAAAAAGAGAAGAAAATAAATCTCCCATCACCTCGGCCGACGCCAATTTTCCAGCATGCTCAAACTTTCGCATCTCTTGGACGCCAAAAGGCGTGACAGTTCCGACGCTATGGTTGACCCGTCGCGGCAGTCGCCTCAATCCCCGATGACCACTACTTCGTCAACGCCTGTCTCACCCGCGGTTTCACTGTTTTCTGCCAAAGGACATGCGCGCTTCTCCAGTTCCGTGTCCTCCTTGGTTTCATCCCCCGGCCACGGGAATTCGATGGAAAGCGCCTCCAAAAATCCCTTGACAGGAGTGAAGGAAGAGTATTCCTGTGGGGCCCACGCGAGGGATCTTGAAGAGGAATACTTCCGTATGTCGCCCTTGCTCCCAACCCCTCGTGCCGGGATTTTCTCCGAAAAATCGTTATGCTTTTTTCCCTCTAATTCTCGCTGACCCGCTAGCAGATCATCTTGACCAAGGCTTATCAGAAGTGGAAGATTCATACTTTTCCTCCGTTGATTACTCGGACGGCTACGACCTCACTGATGCCGGCATGGACATTTCCCATTCTCCGAAGAAGAGACGCTCGGACAGCATTTCGATCAAAGGCCTGTCGCGCATCAGTTCTCAAATATCGACCATCTCCTCGCGCTGGAAATCTCGACGTGCATCCGAAGGACCGGACGGTGTGGATACGTTCTCAACCACGCTGCGATCTCGTACCAACTCCGCCTCCTCCGTCTTGGTCAGCCCGACGGTGGGTTCTATCAGCCGCGTGGAATCTTTTACAGTGCCTCCTTCGCCAGCAAGAACGATCTTCGAAGAGCGGATTAGTGAATCGGGAACGCAACCCATCGACATCGCCAAAGCTAATCGTCATGACCCGGAGGAATCGGCGCCTCAGGCGACCACTCCGCTCCTGCCGCCCTTCATGGGAGACGAACCTGTTTATCCGACCGCATCCCGGGTTCACTCGCCGCTGCAGTCGCCTTCCGTAGCCGACATGGCGGAGGATGTCCCCGATGGCAATGTACTCCAAGACCCACGCCTCGCCACGCTCCCATCGCCACCGCTGTCCTCCAAGCCATCCGTCGCGTCCTTCAACCGACCTCGAGCTAGCACGGCACGAACCGTGTCGGGCGAGGCACCTCCGTTTATCTTATCGGATCCCAAGGACGAGTGGGCGAATAAACTGGGACATGCCAACTTCAACATTCAGCCCGAGCCGTACATGCCTGAAGTTTACGACCTGGAGTCCTTCCGATTACTGCGTGCCCAGTGGGATCTCGCCCAATGCAATTTTGCAAAGCATCTGGTTCGGACGGGCGAACATTACGGGATCACATCCAACATCTACAAGCTGACGGAGGAGAAGTGGGAGTTGATCAACAACGAATGGCGACGGCAGCACGAAGCCATGCTCTCCCAACTGGAGGCCACCGAAGGACCTCACCTACGTCTGGTCAACTCCCACTGCGATCCTTATGAGCAGTTCAAGATCCCTCGCCTGCATGACGACAAGTTCCCCGAGTTGGGCGACGGCGAAATCGTCGGTCCGATGAAAATCGCACCGCCGACGACCGACTCTGGACTGTGTCGCACTCAATCATTGAAACGCAACTTTCTCAAGTTCTTCCAGGATCTTGTGTCTCGGTCCTAGACCTTCTCCGTCTGCGGGTTCTCGCTCCACAGACAGGACCCTTTTCTTGATTCATTCTCAGTTTTTATCTCTAGCGACGATAGAATTATTGTGCGAGGCTCTGATGATGTATAACATCTAATGATCTCTAATGCCTCATGGACGACCTTTGAAGCCTGTGATGACTAATGTCTTTTCTTTCTTCCTTATCTGTTGTTCTTTATTATCGACTCTGATTTGTGGTTTGACATTGATGACTTTATGACCTGTGTGCCTGCGACTACTGACTCGCAGAGTGCAATCCATTCTTTTACGCACGGTGCATTGCATTTTCATTTGTTCTTCCGGACCTTTCTACTTGTGATTCCCTGACGGACCACTTTTTCTGCATCCACATGTAACAGTACCCCGGTGTACTACCAGGCGCATCTGCTTTCCGTTTGTTCTGCGAGCGATGTACTCTCCATGCATTAATGCGATTGGATCCTGCCCGGCTGGAATGTGGAAGAAAATTTGCAGGTCCAACAGAGGAACGAAAGCGGGGGCTTTGCTGTGATAATGATCGGTGTTTCTCATCTATTCCATCCCCCGTTTATACCCTTCAAGCGTGATTGATTTTATGACCCGCTGTATCCTATAGAAATGTTCGGGTGTTTCACAAAAAAAAAGTCACATTAATTCTGTGTTTTTGTACATGTATATATAATAATTACTTCACCTCATAAGATCATACCGATGGATCTCTGATCTCGAAACATTTGAAAATGACCTTTCTTATTTATTTATTTCTTAAATATTTTTATCTTTCCGCATTCTTGAAGCCCCTTGCAGCAATGCATTCACGGAAGTGCCTGCAGCAGCAGCTCGATAGATACACATGGTCCAAAGCGCAAGCAGGAGAATAAATCAGCCGAGCCAGCCGAAACGAACTGGTGATCCCCTTTCCTCCCCGCCGGAGGGTACGGTTTGGTCCTCTCGTGCATGCAAACTTCAGCCATCTGCATTTCCGCGGCGCACATATGAAACATTCGCGATCCAAACCCCACTCCCCGGTTCATCCCCGATGCACCCTTGTCCCTTCCGCCCAGATCAGATCAGATCAGATCCAATACTGGCTCCAGATGCGTTTCGCATCGGCAGTTCCTCGGAAGCGAAAGTCAACGCGAACAATATCCGTGAGACCCTCCGATAGGGTCGGTTCTTTGAATCGGCGAAGGAAGTCCCCAAAGGCGATTCCTGGTAGTGAGGTACGAGATTCCGGATTCTAGATGGAGACCGACGGATGAGCAACATGAGCGAGTGGGGAAAGAAGAAGAAAAGAAAAGAAAAGAAAAGAAAAGCAGAGGCCATCCTCATTGAACAAAGAAATGTGGAGAACGGGTTCGGCATAGATGGTACAAGAAAAAGCATGATAAGCTCGCGCACGGGCACGATTACCGGCGGAGGCGCGATGCACAGTGCGAGATGAGCGAGCGTGGATTGGTTCGAGTCCCCAATGCAGGTAGAGCACGGATCCACCAGCCCTTGGTCCCCTTCTCTCTTTCTCTCTGTGTGTGTATGTATATGTCCTTTCTTGGGTTCCCCCGCAGGGGAACACAAGGGAATCAGAAAGATGCCGAGAGGGGGCGGGCGGTTATCGATGCAAGCCCCCAAAGGGCCCATTCTCCATCCCGGAAGGTAGGCAGATAGTAAAAGAGTAAAAAAAAGGGCGGTGGCGTGTACAATATCAGAAGGGCAAAGTTGCACATACCAGGTCCTGATTTGCTGCTCGAACGGCATTGTTATGCCGACAGAGGTCGGGCGACGCGGAAAAATACACGCAACGAATTGGGACTTCAAATTCCTTTGCGACTTCAATCCAATGGGCTCGGGTTTCTAGGTCTGCATTGGTATTGTCTATGTGCGTTTTGATGCCCAATTCTCCGACTCGCGTCGGGGAATTGTTTTCGGCAAGCAGTGAGTTAGCAAAGTCTGGAGAGGAATGTGGCCCTGGTCGTTAAATTTCCAAATGGACTTTTGTTGGGTGGGGGGAAGTTGGAAAAGCAGGGAGTTAGAAGAGGTAGGAAGGACTGGTCTGGCCTGGTCCGGTCCATTGTAGAACACGGAGCTATATGCAAGGGTCATGCAGCACATACCGACCACAACGGACTTTTTGGCCGCAAGGTGCTCCTTGGCTACTTTGATGCATTTTGGTCGCTGCGATTCCCCTTGGTTAGCTTGGTCCTGCTGGTCCTTTTGTCCTCCCCTAATACTACTGTAGACTGGTCCTCTCTTTCGAGTCCGGCCGTGCCAGCCGTGTTTGGATCGGCTCAGGGAGAGAACTCGGGTGTATGTGGTGGACGCACCGTCTTGAGAATGTCCTGGTTCACTCGCTCATAACCCATTGGTTCTAGGTAATCCCAGTAAAAAGTCGATTTGCCCGCTCCGGGGCTGCCACAGAAGATGACAAGTTCGAGGGGATTTTGGCGTGAGAAAGGGGCAGGCGCTGCTCAAATAAGGTTATTGAATCTGTAGTCTGACCGGTCTTCTGCGGCGTGGACCGAGGGAGGGTTTGGAGGAGTCCATGATCATTCGAGACCATGTTCCTTCTCACTTACCATTGTCGTCGTCATTTTGAAGATACAAAGACGGATTGAAAGGTTCCACAAGTGGCTCTGGGTCGGCCCCGAGGAAGAACTCCTCAGGCGTCTTGAACGGAAGCCCGATATTGGCTGCGAATCCCCTGGAGCATGAAAACTCAGGATCAGTTCGCACATCTTTCTTGCTCAAATTAAACTTACCGGTCTACCTGAGAATGGTCTCGCGGCCGGCCGGCGGCATCTCCAACAAAAACAGACCCTGACAGGTCGACTCCAGCCACGTCGAAGTCATAGTCGTCTAAGAATTCGTTCCACATCCCACTCCTCGGTTTCCGATAGTCGTCATCCTCTGTAGCAGCGTAAACACTCATAGGGAGATCTAGCTGTTCCATAACGGCCGTGATCCTTTCTTTGAAATTTGTCAAGCTTTTAGAATCGCCCTTCCCGGCTTTCATCTCTTTTTTCAGGCTGATCTTTTTTTGATTGGAAACAATAATTACTCGGTATCTGGTTAGAAGTATCAGTTCTCGATCTCTGGTCCCGACAGGTTGCGTCGCGGTAGAAGACGCCGCAATGACATACCCATCGGCCTCCAGCTCTTTCAGACGAGAAGGTACGGAAGAATGCCACCACTTCCAATCTGCCGAGTTTCTTGGGAATGTGTTCCCCGAGGCAGTTGAAATCAAAGTCGAGTCCTTCCCTCGGCCGTCAGCTTTAGACACTCTCATGTACATCCGTCGATGGATCGATGAGTGAGTGGATTTTGACTTACAAAATCAAATGCAGCAATTTTTGGCTTGCCTGAAGACTCTTCCTCAGGTCCCGGTTCTTTGGCATATTTGCCAATAATTAGACTGTTCTTCACAATCCGCCAGGTGATTTGCTCGGGCTTTTTCTGAGATGTTGGCGTGAAGAACGAGGACATGGCTTTCTCTGAAACGGTGAAAATGGGCGGCTCTGATTAGACTTATTCATTGATTTATCATTGATGGACGACTTACTGGTCACCGTTGGCTCAACTTTTCGTTTCAGTGGAGGCGGAGATATAGCACCGTTCGGAGACGGTGCCCGCTTCGTGCCCCCGGCGCCGGCCATCCTTAATCTAAGGAGTGTGAAAGAAATGTTGAGATGAGTTGATAGGGACCTTCCCTCTTGTCGATGGAGAAGCCGAGTTGTGATGGTTGTCGTCGTGAGTATTTCTGGCTAGGAAAGTATTCTGAGTTTGGGCGGACGTCGACGCGCCGACACGCGCGTTCAGCTTCACGAGGTCACATGTCTCATATACCCGACGATGGACAACCCGCACTGAGGAGGGGCAGCAAGCATCCCTTGAAAGTGAAAACATCGGTCTATCAGCTGTGTCGAATATGTATCGTGTATTAATTCTATCGCGGCAATAACACACATTCCTGGGAGCATATGTACACAAGACGCATCCTCCCTGAATACCACTAGCGATGCAAAAAAAAAAAAAAGATACGTAGACATTTTCCTCAATTACTATCTACTAAATCTATAAAAAAGGCATTTGCTCCAGGGTATCGAACATGTGAAAAGAACAAGAGGACAATTCGTCCAGCCTATTTGGCTCGCGTGTCCAGAGAGAGTCGATCCGCCTGTTCCAGTCGGACAGCTGACTTCAACTGTTCCCGAAACCCAAACAGATGCTGCGAGGCAGTCTTCATCATTTCTTGGTTGCCACCATCCTGGACCGTAATGGATGCTTGCAGCACGTAGCTCCCGGTTCTGTCCAGGGAAGTCAACTGCTGGAAAGGAGGCAGCTGGCGCCGAGGTTCATGTGGCTCTTGGCCCTCGTTGGGGTATTGTAGGACGCGATGGAGAAAGATGACGATATCGTTCATAATGAAGATATCACCCTCCACCATATATTCGGTGACATAACTATCCGATCTCGTATCAGCAAACCGAACGAAAAGGTGAGCGATCATACGATTCGCTTATTCATCCACGTCCGCGTCGCGGGATACGACTCGCTTACTCACCTATAGCCCCAGGCATTCATGGGGGTTACGATATCACCTTTGGGCAGACCGGCGCTGGCCATCAGTCGGCTGGTGACGGCTGAACGAGTCCCGGCCTCGGGGATATCTCTAAACTCCAGCCTCCAGGCCTGTTGGTCGTAGCTGTAACGATGTCCACCGTCCTCGTCCGTACCGGCCATGGACGCGTCAGTATCTCCGAGCGAGATTGACGGAGGGTTGGCACCCAAATCCGCTTCGGAAACGGGTCCGATCACCTGAGTATAGAACATGCCTCCGTTCAGCATCTTATTCAGACGCTGCATGTCGGGGCCTTGTACGTCCTGAGTGGCGCCGACATGGGTATTGACCAGTCCCGGCTTCCGAAAGGCCTTGAAGACCAAACGCCGTTCTAAGCGGTGACGCGGTTGCATGGCCGTCAACCCGGCCAGCTGTTGGAGCAGCTCATGATGCTGATGGGCGGGAACCGAGGCGAAGAGTAGCAGCTCATGCATGATCACAAGAACAGCGACGGCCAGCTCACTACCAGTTGGCTGCTGAAGGGCGGCGGGGAATGTATTCCGGAAGCTCAAAATCCGAGATCTGCTGGTGGGCGGGAAAGTGGCAACCCGCGGAAAAATCCGGGTCGGAAAGCTGGTCCGAGCTTCAGGAGTTTTTTTTTTTTTTTTTTCACGTTCAGCGGTTAAAATTCCCTTTTTGAAGGTCTGTTTATCTTCGGCCGGTTCGGAGATGTCGCGACGGTGCAAAGTGCAAAGTGCAAAGGCCCCAGACAAAGTACGAGGAACGGAACAAGGGAGCCGGGAAGTCACATGCACAGGCACAGGCACGGGAAATTATTCTGAAAGAGGAAAGGAAAGGGACCAGATAAAGATTAACTAAAGAAAGCCGGGGGAAGATGAAGGGGGGAGGGGAGGCTTGTTTGGGTTAAGGCGATGCGGGGGATGGAATCCGAAGGGCGTTGGAATTTCCCTGTGAATTTAGATTGGGCGAAGTGTCAGTGTGTCAGCTTCACCGGGAGAGAGGAGAAATCTAATGATTATTGATCACGCATGAACCTTATGATCCTTGGGGATTTGGGGGGATTTGGGGAGCTCCTCCGATCCTGGGAGTCCTCCTGGTCGTACCGTACGCGTAAGATACCAGGCCAAGAGTCCGCAGAGCCCGGAGTCCGGCACCGCCGCGGGTACAGGCCGTGTACGACGATACGGCACGACTAATTGCTTCCACTAACACCGCGAATGCCGGCTTATCAGTTGTGACGGATGGGGACTAGATCGGCTCGCTTCCGCTCCGACTTCCTCCCCTCCCCGTCCGTCTTTTCTAAGAAGTTATCTTCCCCCCCTCTCGCTCTCCGTCCTTCTCACTTTCCCTCCTCCTGTTTTTCATCTTCTCCATCGCTCTCTTCAGCCAGTCTCTTCGCCATTGCCATCTCTATTAATTCAATCTCTGTACATATCCTTCGCCGGATTCTGCTGAGCTACTACTACTACTAGCTTCCCATCTGCCCTAACTAATTAATCGCTTACCTCGGTCGCTTCGGACGCCAACGGATCACTGGGTTTTTTTCGTCGCGTCAAATTCGTGCGAATCACTCAATCTTCTCTTCCTTCACTTTCACCCACCGACAATTCCCACTTCCAACCTTTCTATACCCTCAATTCTTACAATTCAAAATGCGTGCCACCGTCGCTCTCGGAAACGCTGCCCGCACACCTCTCATTCGGTTCCTTGGCCGCCGTTCCGTGCCTCGTATGTCTCTTCTCTCGACCCTCCCCATCTTACCTCGCAATTTGACTCAATTAACGCGTTTTTTCTTTAGAGTCCATTGACCACACTCCTCGTCCTCACCCCGCCTCTCCCTCTGGCATTCTTCCCGACTCTTTCGCCGCCTATCGCATCAAGGCTCAGCAGCACGGCCCGCTCGGTCGTGCCTCTTTCACTCAGGGGGCCATCGGTCGTAACGCGGGCGCTTCTTTGGGCCCCGTTCAGCCTAAGCAGGGCGAATTTTTCGACCGTGTCGAGCTTCCCTCTCGTTTCCACCGCCTTCCGTGGAGCGAGGCTGAGATCGAAGCCATTGAGACCGGTGGTGCCAGCCTCTATGCTTAGATTCTCCGTGTAACCATGAGGGATGACGCAATGAATACGCTAAGAGGATGAGCATGATGCATGGAATTGCACACGTTCCTAAGGGGGTGGTCGTTTGCGACCGAAACTACGACGGGAATAACTCTTCAACGGGTGTCCCGTAGGTGCTTGGGCAAGAGCCGTGCGACCGGAGAAACCTCGCTTCATCGCGAAATTAAGCGTTTCCATCAAACCTTGGCTGCAAACGGTTCTCGGTCATGGAATCTCTTTCGGAACACCTCGGATCCCGGCTCGTCTCCGGTCCACGGCTCTTTTTTAACATTTCTTTTTTCTTTTGTTGTACTGTTTGCTTTGTATCAAGGCGCTGGTGGTTGCAAGTCATTCATACTTAGCGGTTTCATATCTTTCGAATACTCTGGGCGCGCTGTGTGGGATTTGGTTTTTCTTTGCTTTTTCTATTTTCCCCTTACATTTTCCACGGCGATCTTTGTTCGCGGAATGTTCGGAGTCCCAACCAATCATGCATAGTGCTTGATTCGAGTTGATTCAAAAAGTCTGCTGGACTATTGGACTATTATTACACTGGAAGACCTGGCTTGGGTTTGTGCTATGCTTATTGCTTGTCCACTGAGCTCAGGACGGTATCATTACTACAGGTTAGAATTCACAACATTTCCAGTCACAATCCAAACAACCTCAGTAGATCTTGATGTATTTTCATCGTCAGTATTGAACATCGCGATCTGCGTTACTACTGGTCAGGCGATGACAGCTTTCGAATGCGGCTCCTCCCGCGTGCTCGCGGCTAAGCAGGTCGCATTCCTGCCACGCAGCTTCTTCGACCCAACAACTCCTCCTTTGAGACTTACGCTATTTGGACCTCACCTGTCAACTCAGTGATTTGTTCCAGCTTACAGCCAATCGGCCTTGGTTCGTCTCCATAGAATAATCACCACATAATGGCCTCTTCTTCCCCGGCCAAACGCATAACTTTCACTGAAGTAGACGAGGTCAATCATCCCACTGCAACGTATATCTACTCCGAACCCTCAGCACCTCTCCAAAGTCCCCCTCACGAAGATGCGGTCGTGAAAGGACGCGTTGATATTACGGTAGTTTCCCATCCTCCCTTGGCCTTTACCTTTTTTCTTTCTTCTTTATTCCTGCGACGTTGCGTTTATCTCGCTTCCAACCCCGTGATCAGGCGTTGCATCATGACAAAGGGTTGATGAACCTAGCCCATTAACTAGACGTCTAGCATCCTTCTTCTACCATTCCATCATCATCATGGTCTCTGAATTCGCTTCGAGGTCTTCTCATCGATGTGTTTCTCCCTGTTGGATATCCTCACAGTGTCAGCGACGATTATACCTCGTATGTTAAACCCTGGTCAACTGATTGTGACCGCAAGCTAACAACCATCTTAGATACCAGATTTTTGTGAGTTCCGGTTCCATTCAGATGCGCTCAGCTCGTTGTCGCAGGGGCACCGGCTGCTCGGCCTCATTCAAGGAAGACCAACCTCTTGGGCTAGTCCAAACTGGGGATTCACTAACGTAACTCTCCGTTTGAAGGACTCCCTTCAAGCTTTCAGCAGCTCGATCGCCGGTCTTCTCTCCTCAAGAGCTGTATTGCAAGGTTGAACTATTTGCTCCCAGGTTCAACGTCTTGACAAAGCTGACTGCCCTGTAAACGCAGGAGTTGGAGTGGGCAATGCTGATGCGTCCCCAACCTCCGCCCTTCTCCTCCACATCCTCCAGGATTCGTCAGGCCGAGTCGCCACAATTCTTTTTGCACATCGAGTTGGCACAGCTCTTGAGCCGGAGTGCAAAAAGTACCGGCTAGCGGCCGATGTGTTCAACGACGTGGCGATTGTGCTGGATTGTCTCTCCCCGATGATCCCTGCAGGAGTTGGCCGAGTCACTGTTCTCAGCACAGCGGGCGTTCTTCGGGCTCTGTGTGGAGTGGCAGGAGGAAGCTCCAAAGCAAGTTTGAGCGCACATTTTTCCAAATGGGGAAATCTCGCTGAAGTCAACGCGGTACGTTCAATCAAGCCCACGTTTGGACAAACTAGAAAGGCTAGCCTCACTGACATCTCTTGCTACAGAAAGACTCCTCGCAAGAAACCATAATCTCACTGATTGGGATGCTTGTATGATTTGTACTCCGGCCATCTCCATCCTCAAAAGCTTACGCAGAACAGGCTGGATCTTTCGTGGTGTCCCGCGTGACAAGCTACACTGCGACATGGATTTCCTTGGTTTTGCTTCTTACGCTTCATCTGAGCCTTAACTACGCCGCGGTGCGCTCAGTGCAAATGACCAGTCTCAACAGACAACGGACGAATATCGTATTTTCAACTCTGTTTGAGTCAGACCCTGATGTCGACTTCAAGGGCTTCAGTGATAGCCGCCAGGTGAAACAAAGACAAAGGGGCATGGGCTTTGATCAAACCAGCTGGCTCGTCCTATCTCCTGCTGAGGTGACTATGCAAGAACGAATCTTCGAGACGGATGGAATTCTCAGATGGAGCTCGACTAGACCTCGATCGGAGGCATCAAGGATAGGATTCTGCCGCATTGGACTATCGGTCCAACAATTCCTCGCCTCTTCATCCTCATACACATCCTCTGGGTCTTTGAAAACCCATCTCCCGGTATCTCAACTTTCCACCCTCTTCGAGGAAGAATCTTATATACTCTGGCTCCACCACACCAACCAAACATGCTATGCATCTATCCTCTTGAAGAATACGAGCACCGTCCAGGCACAGCTCAAGGCCTGGGCACATGCTCTACTTGCCGTGCGAGTAGTGTCTACTTCCCTTAAAGAGGACTCCACGATTCACATCGACAGGGTTCTTGATATTCTGTCGACAACATTGAACTTTCTCAACGATAATGAACGGTTCGATCAGTATCTTCAGGCCTTGACGTATGCGGGATGGGATGTGAGCATTGATGCCTTGGAGACAAAGTCGGGACGGAGGGTCATCAGCGAGGATTAATTTAGACCTCTGTGTCTAGAACGGCCATCGGCTTCTGTTCCCAGTAAATCCCGTGCCTCTGGTCCAGAGATATTCGTGAGACTGAGACATACTGCATTTCGACTTCGTTCCCGGTGGATCAACGCTTGGTGTCTTCTCAGCAGTGGTCTAAACATAGATTGCACTACTCCAAAATAAGAACAGCTCACATATTCTATCGATTGTATAAGCGCTGAACGAATACTTCGGTCTACACAGAGTGAAAATGGATAATATAGTACCTGGCGCCCTCCCAGGAACTAGAGAATATTACGATCGGCAGGGCGCTTAGCGAAACGAAGCGCCATTCAATGAGAATCACCGACGTAGCGCCGAGTATTTCGGGGAGATAACAGATCAGATTTGGCGACAGTCACTGGATGATGGAAGCAGTCGATCTTCCACATGCTTCTCATGTCCGGTTCGGCCGAAGGAGAGCTTGACCGCCATGTTCCATTAGCCGCCATGGGTCCTGGGAGCTCTTGCCGGCATCATTTTCAACGCGGGTTCTTGGAAGTCTCGGTCCCAACGCTATTGTTTCTCTGAGAAATGGGCCGTGAAATCCCCGATTGGTTGCAAGAACCCCGAGTTGGCGCTCGACTGGGACACCGTACGAGGATAACGTGCGTTGGTACTGTGCCATCGATTCTCAGAGGTGGTCGCCGAAGCTAGACGCCCTGGTTCACATAACCAACTAACTAACTATCCTTTGATCGCTTATCTCAGCGCCATATCGTCGTTTTCGACGGGGGGCATGGAAGATGGACACCAAGAACAGTGTGCCACGTACGCCTTCCGTCAAGCCCTACCTCGGAAACAGAAGATTCTTTGTCTCCATCTTGGGGCGCGTGGAAAGCTAATGGGATAGTGCAGGCAGTTTCCAGTTGGCGGCTAGAAACCAACAAGCCACGCTGCATTGGCATTGTCCAATCATTGGCCTGCTATCGCTCCAGCGGGCATTGACCTCGAGAACACGCTATGTTTGCTGGGGGCATTTGGGGTTGAGTACCACTTGCCGGAGGTGCTAGGCTGCTTTTGGGTGGCAGGCGAGGCTACTATCGAGAAATCTGGTGTCACGATCTTGTACTCCGTATGTGACTCTTGACCGCGGTTGGGAACGGCAAAGCCCTAGCATCCTGCCGAGGAGGATGTTTGTGACCCCTGTCCTGGCCAACTCCGTTGATTGGGGAAAGTCAGAGAGGTAAGAGGCCGATCCATTGGATTGGCGAGCTTTGTGATTAGCGCTCTGCAAGGTGCCTCTGTCTAGTCTTCGATACTCCTTCGTCCTTCCCACCTTCGGGCACCGTCGAAACTATGCGACGAGAACGGTTCTAGGAGGCACTTGCATTTGCTAACGACGCAGATCATGGGCCCCCAATGTTATGATCCACAGCAAATAGGATGAGAGAAATGGCCGTTAGAGATAAAGAGGCATAAGAAAAGGTGTGTCTCACGGGCTCACTCGGATTGGGGCCGGAAAACGACCCCAAGACATTACTTCCAGGGGAACTAATACTCTGTAGTCTGTATGCACGTTGATACAGCATGCAGGCGGTTTAGTTCACGATTAGCGCCAATGCGGCGCATCCAGGCTAGACCGAGAAGGTCACAACAGGGCCGCCTAAGCGATATGACAGGTAATACTCTGGACCGGTAGGATGCGTCGAACGGCCTCCACGTTACAGAAACTACTAGTTTGCTACATACGCACGGCATGAAACAATTGGCGAGGTAGCCGCACAAATTCATCCGGAGGCCACGCCAGATCGTACAATGCGAGCATCTACAGAGCACACGGTATGCCATCTGCATCGGAGACTCAATTGTACTGCACGTAAAGGTTTGGCGCGAGTTTGAGGTGGTGGATCTCCGAGATTCAGTCTAGTGATGATAGGGAAATCCTATCGGGCAACAAACTCATCACCTAATAAGAATGATGCTCTGGCGCAATCGCTTCATCCAGCTCCCGGTGAACCATACTCCGTCTGCATGACCATGGCTTCTTCCTTTCTGTCGGAGTCAGGCTGGGTATCCACGGGGAGGGTCAGATCGCGATGCTAGCCCGCTAGACAATATCAAAATCCAGTTCACTAGATGGGGGGATCGATGCGATAGGATCGGAGAGAGTAGGAGCCTCCCCGTAGTTTCCCGAGGGATCCTTTTTTTTTCTTTTCTTTTTTTCCCTACACCGTACGGTGTACACAGTATTCACGAAGACTTCCGAGGGCAACAAAGGCTAAATCAATATAATAATCAATAATGCGGGAAAATAATCAAAATAATAATAATCAGATGGTTTTGGGCCTAAGAAAGTCTGATATTAATATCAGCAGCAGAAAATGACCCGATCGATCCAGCAGCGCAAATCCTTCAGCGGCGTCGGGCGTAAAAAAAAGCTTCCAGAGACGTTCTAGAAGCCAAAATTTTCATCGCATCTGACTCGTTGTCTCGGCTGCCGGGCCTTCTTTATTCTATTTGATTTTGAATTTTTTTTTTTTTTTTTTTTTTACTTTTCTTATTATGTATTCTGTGATATGACGATAGCGAAGCAGTCCACATGAATTATTAAATGGATTATTAGATCAGGAAATATTCTGTGTAATGACCGCACCGAAAAATATTCGAACCTTCCTCGCAGGAGGCGAATCGCCCTACCCTATGCCAATCACCACGGCGATTATCTCATTGCGCACGCCGCACGCAAAGTCGGATGGCCAGGGGGTCCCCAGTGGGTGGATGGAGTACACGTCGATCACTAGGAAAAGAAAACAAGCACATGCGTAGATCATACGGTGATATGAATATGGATCCCATACACCATCTAAACTTTGATATGACGATAACCCTGGGATCATATCATCATGATGCGATAATACCTGCCGACTCCAGGACGGAGCAAAGTCTGCTTGATGGTTGAGGATGATCGACGATCTGCAGGGCCAGGGGTGTTTACTCCGGTTATCAGTCATACTCTGGACTCACCGGTGTGTGTGGTCTGACTTTCAATTCAAGGAGGAGAGCATTCCGGTGCGGTGCACAAATTATGGGGTATGTACAATATGTCGTACGGAGTAGGGAGGATGTAGTATGTACGGAGGACGGAGTACATACTCTGCAGTCTGGGCTGCGGTTTGTACTACAAATCGACAACGATTGGAGCCTGTAGGTCTACTGTATGTATGTAGGGTGTCGGTTGTCTGTACACCAGTAACCAGCTCGACAAACAAATTCCCTCTAGCGAAAGAGGGGATGAAGCCATCACTCGGAGTACTACTCCGGTACTACGTGGAAATGAAGATCTTGTCTCCCATTCCTCGAGTCTTAGCCTGTTGTGCAACTCCAACTGGAGAAAAGAAGGAAGGGATAGAAGGAAAGCAAAGAAAATTCTCCCTAGCCGAGTAAAATCACGCATTCCTTTCTTTCAATTCCAATTCCGATTCCCGCCCCACTCCACTCCATACCGACAAAGGGAGTGGAATGGAATGAGATGGGATGAAGGGACCGTTGCACCGGAGACCAGAATGATATACGGATACACGGAATGGCCATCTATGACAAGTCCGGCCTCAACTTTAAAGCCACCTGCCTAACAGAGTAAGGATGGGGTTCTCACTGCCAAGACGACCAGGTAGAACCGTAAGGCAAACCTCAAGCTTCAAGGACTAGAACAAAGAAGAGAAGAGACTCTCGGATATCCCAGAATCCCAGTGGAGGGAAGTGGAGGATCCGAGGCAAAAAAGAGGAGAGAGAGAAAGAGAGGGGAAAGGCCAGTCCTAAAGGAGCAACACGTTGTCGGGGCCAACCGCAGAGAGAGAGAGAGAGAGAGTCCTCCGTCCGAAAGAGGGGAAAGGGAGGGTCGCACCACCCAATCCTGGTCATTGCCACGCTCTGCGCCCAGTTATGCGCACACACGGTGAAGCCACGTACGGCTGGCCCAAATGGCCATCTGATTAGCTGCGTCGCTGCAAGGGTGGGCCGGTCCAAGGTGGAAGCCTGGGAGGCGACCGAGGGAGCATTCTGTGAAAATTCCGTACCCGTTCTTCTGATCTTCTGGAAAGAAAGAAAGAAAAAAAAGAATTTTGCTATTTTCAACTTTTGCCTCCCGACTCTAATTCAGTTTCCGAGAACGCTAAGCTGATAACTGACAATTGACAACTGTACCTACGGAGGTAGTAGACGGGGGACGTAAACCCAATCCTCCACTCCTTAGATACTGGATATGGCAGTAGACTAGGGGCACGGAGGACCCCATCAGGGAAGGAAATCAGAGAAATCAGAAATCCCACTTCAGCCCTAATAATTAGCTGGGGTGCGCAATATTAATCTACGACCGAGTACTTCTTTCGAGAGAAATTCACAAACCCACCAGAATAAATAACCACAGTGGCGCAGTCAAGCCACAGCGTGACACATACACGATCCTGCATGTCTGCAGGCCCTTGCAGACAATTTGGGGAAAAGCGACTAAACCAGCCAGGGGGGGGGAGAGGAGGTCATCACCGGTGATACCACGCCGTCTGTCAAACAACGTCCGGACTGGAGTCGCCCAGACCTTAAGATGGGGTAGTGTTACGACGTAGATATGCATGGTGCAGGGTGCATGGTGCATGGGAGGTGCACTCTAGTCTCCCTTCTCCCTAGTAGTAGTCCTCCGTCAACACTACGCCGTAAATAGGCTGGATACCTGTTGGTTACTCGGTCCTGTCGCGTTATCTCGCAACGGTCGGCGGTACTGCGGCGGTACCGACTGGACGGGGTAACGCCTGGATTTCTTTCTGCTGAGTGCTGACATTTCACGTTCTTTGTCTCTCAGGAGTCTCGGTCCCGTATCAGACAGTCTGTCCGGGCTGCAGATCCACCAACGTCACTCTCACTCGCTTACACCACCCGAGAACCCTGCAGTTGCATTGCGAATTTCGATGGTTCCTTCGAGGGGACTCCGTAAGAGAGAGTCTGAGCTCCCGGAACTAACTAGCGATTGT